TGGGGAATGAAATGGAAAGCTGACTGCTACAATTTGCTTTAGTCTACAGTGGGGAAGAGAGACCTGTAGGTTTCCTGCCTGCTGGCCCAGCCCACTTTTGCCATGGTAAGAAAGGTAACTGCTTTAAGACCCCACTGAAGAATAAAGATTATATATACCAGGCAGGAAATATCATTTGAATCTAGAGGTTGTGGATACAGCAGATCAGATACAGGAAGGACTCCAGCGATACTGATACAGATGGCAGAAGAGAGGCTACTACTGTCAGGTACTGATTTCACCCAGGAAGGTGGTGTGTGACGGGCTTTAGTACTGGACGTGGGGAAATGCACAAAGACCAAGGATTGCATACAAAGATTGCTTACATCATTCGCAATTTTATCCCGATCTGTAAATCTGGTATGAATTCAAATGTATAAAGCAATGTTCTCACTGGGTTATGAAAATGGGTCACTTTTTATTCTCTCCTCTCTTTTCTCACCTTTTCTAAATTTTCTTCAATGAGTACTGTTTTACTCTTTTGGTAACATGGGGTTGGTCCCCTTAACTGACCCAACTGGAAACAGGAGTTGGATGATTGACAAAAATGCTGAATAAAATGGGAAACCATAAAATATGACTACTACCGTAAACATAACTTAAAATGTACAGGTAAATATACCACTCATTCCTCTGCCCATCTTTTCACATAAGGCCAAAGCCTCTTCTTTGAATATGGATGGGTTTGGGGTTCCAGGTCTTCTGTCTTAGATAAACAATACCGCAGCCATCTATGAATATTCCAATTCCTATTTCTTTAAAGTGTAATGAACTCAAAGATAACCATGAAGCAACCCAAGTGCAGATTCCTTCTGAGATTTTTATTCAGTGTTGCCCTATAACCTAATAGTTATCGTACACACAGTCATTTCATCATATTTTTAAGAGACTCTTCTTTATCAAGTCTTTCCAAAGCATTCAACTTGATTTTAATGGAAGTAAGGCTGTTTTTGTACTATTTCCTCAATTTACACAACATTTTATTTTACTTAAAGATTTTATTTCTTTATTTTTAGAGAGGGGGAAGGGAGGGAGAAAGAGAGGGAGAGAAACATCAGTGTGTGGTTGCCTCTTGCATAACCCTTACTGGGGACCTGGCCTGCAACCCAGGCATGTGCCCTGACTGGGAATTGAACCTCTGACCCTTTGGTTCACAGGCCAGTGCTCAATCCACTGAGCTACACCAATCAGGGCACACACATCATTCTAATAAATTATGTAGTCACAACAGGTAGTATAACTTATACCAATGATTTGAGGACAAATAATTGACCCTTAGTTAAGCATACATCTCCCCAGATGGAACACAAGCATTCTGGAAAGTATGTATGAGCCGAGCATGCTCAATGTGCTGTGGGTAGTGGTAGGAGTGATTTATGAAGGGAATGAAGGCTGGCAGAGAAGTTGATTGCGTAGATGCTGTTTTATGTGTTTATCCACTTTCAGAATCTGAAAACACCCTCCACCGCTGTTTTCCTTAAGGGACGAGGCTGTTGAGAAATGACAAACATGGTTTGAAAGATGCAGTGGGGAGCAGGGGACATGCCAGTCCTTCCTCCACACCCCAACAGCGTGGGGGTAGGAGTATGAATGCACACGTATGTGTTGGGGGAAGTGGCGTTCCGAGTGGCAGAGGGACCTGAGGATGACTCCTATTGGACATAGCCTCCCCAGGGAGCCAGGCTTTAAGTTATGCCGCACGCGTGATAGGAATGATTAAGTGAGAGGATGGAGTAAACTTTGTTCACCGGACAATAGTGGTCTCACTGGTTAAAACTCAAAGGGGGCCAGAGAGAGAGTGGTGAGAAGGCTTGTGAACAAGCCCAGGAAGAGGGCGGAGAGAGGAGGCGGGGATCTGGCAAAGGACAAAGAAAGCAGGGAGCTGTGAGGCAGACAGTGGGCATAAACTTCCAATTTTTTTCCTTTGAAATATTCACTGAACTGTTTTGCACATGATCCTCAGCGAGTTTTTGGTACAACATTTCTGTCCCTAAAAGGGGCAATGCAAACGTGGGTAAGAGTAATTCTAAACCTTTGGATCTTTACTTCCCAGTTAGATGGATCAACAGAAGTATAGCTCACGGCCCTGGCCAGTGTAGTTCAGTGGGTTGGGCCTTGTTACAAGGTGAAAGGTCACTGAGTTGATTTCTGGTCAGGGCGCATGCCTGGGTTGCAGGTTCAGTCCCCAATTGGGGGTGCATGAGAGTCAACCAATTGATGTCTCTCCCTCTCATATTGATGTTTCTCTCCCTCTCTTTCTCCTCCCTTTCCCTCTTTCTGGAATAAGTAGCAGGAAAAAAAAATTTTTTAAGAAGTACAGCTCATGCCAAGGCCAGGTAATAGGTACCAAGTCCAATAAGAGCGGTACTGACATTAAATGCTGCAAAACAGATTCTTTTCTCCTTGAGTCCAGTTGAAACAGGTTCCTCCCCACCCTTGCCAACGCCTGACTCACTTTAGCACCACTCATTCCGCTGTTCTATGCAAGGGCTAGCGGTTGCCTAGAACCCGCTGTCACTTACCTAGTTGTACTGACTTGTGGTTAAAATTGCTTGTATAAATGAGAAGCCACACAACTTGTGTGATGGCCAAGGACTACTGCTAGTAAGCTTGTCTATGGCCCTGACTGGGTCCTAGCACTGCTTTAGGAGCGCTACATATATTAACTCATTTCACCCTACAATATAGGACCACGGTTACAGATGAAGAAACTGAGGTTCACAGAGGTTACATAACATGTCCGAAGTCGCCCAGCTAACTGAACTGTCCATCAGCTGATAAATACACAAATGTTACATAAAATACACAAAATGTAGTCTATCCATTTGATGGAATATTATACAGCTATCAAAAGAATGAAGTACTAATGCATGCAACAACAAGGATGATCCTTGAAAACTTATGCTAAGTGAAAGAAGCCAGACACAAAAGACCACATACTGGATGATTCCATTCCTATTAACTGTCCAGAATAGGAAAATCTATAGCTACAGAGAGTAGATTAGTGGTTTCCTAGTGCCGGGGAGAGGGGGAGTGGGTAGTGACAGCTAAGGGGTATGGAAGGGGGTTTCTTTTTGTGGTGATGAAAGTGTTCTCAAATTGGATTGTGCCCCTGGCTGCACAATGCGGAATACTCTAAAAGCCACTGAACTGTACACTTTATATGGGTGAATCGTAGAGTAAATTCTCAAAAGGTTTCAAGTTTATCAAACCAAGGAATACTTATTGACCATCTAACAGGCATATACTCAGTTCTACATAAGTTACAAAACAAGTATAAGATACAAACCCTGACCTCAAATTGCCCACAGTTCAGGAGAAAAGGCACACACGCAGTATATAATAATGCACTTTTGCACTATGAATGTGTGACTTTCTTTCTCGGGGCAGTCAACTCTCTGAACCTGGCTTTCTGATTCGTAACAGCCACTGGGCTAGGGTCTAATGAACATATAACTATGACAAGACCAGTCCCACTCCCCTCCCTCAGTGGGGGTCTGCAGAAGTCATGATCAACCACAGGGTTATCTTGTAAGAAAGCAACCTATAGGAGTCTTAGGGAGCTGAGGCTGGGCCTGCCATCTGATAACTGAAATAGAGAAAATGTTTCCTAATTAAACAGAGGCAAGGACAGCTTGGCAAGTGTAGGCTGAGTGAGGGCCCGCAGGCCTGGGTCCCCCTCCCTGGGTTTAAAAATGCCCCAAGTAACCCTGGCCAGGTAAGCTCAGTTGGTTGTAGCATCATCCCAAACACCAAAAGGTTGGGGGTTTGATCCCTGGTCAGGGCATACACCTACGTACTAGGTTCGATCCCAGGTCGGGCTGCATATGGGAGGCAACTGATCGATGGTTCTCTCTCACATTGATGTCTCTTTCTCTCTCCCCTCCCAAAATCAATAATAAAAAAAAAATCCTTGTGTTAAGATTAAAAGAAAAAAAATAAAAACCAAATGCCCATAGTAAAGAAATAGCACAGATTTTCCTTAGCTATGGCTGCTGCAGGTGTGGCCTGTTCCTCCGGGGGAAGGCTGCACATGCCGGGCCGCCTCCCTTGGCCCTCTGAGTCTGGCAGCAAAGGCCACTCTGCTTGAGGTGGGCTTCGGGGCCTTACAAGCCAGACAAGGCCCTCTTCTGCCTCCTACTGACTTAGCGACGCAGTTCAGAAAAACTGAGAGCAACAAAGATCCTTAACGAAGACCAGGAGCTGTGCTCATGAGAACCTGAAAGTGTGTGTTTGGAGGAAGGAGATGAGGGCCATGATAGGAGAGACACGAGTAAACTTGGCAAGGGGCAGTTTGGGGATGGGAGGCTGCACAGAGAACCATAATATTGAAGAAAACTGAAGAAGGAAAGGTCCAGAAACCTGGTGGTCCCTTTACAACCAGGAAGGCTTTCTGAAGCTACTGTCTACCTTAAGTGGGAAAAAAAAGGAAACTGCTGTTCATATTCAAAGTGCCCAGGTACTGGGGACTTCAGGCTCTAGGGCTCTGTCCTATCCCAAGGCGACTGGGACAGTGTCTAGCTCGATGTCCAGTGGCCCCATGAAGCACACATGCACGTAGGTTCTAAAGCCTAGGGTGCACATCAGAAAGCTGTTTAAATTTTACTAACATGTGTATTCAGCCAAATTTTATAACAAGCCTTCTCTAAAATGTTCACATAATAGTGGCAATCAAAACTTAGAATCTTACTTAAGCTGGGAAATGTATATGGTTTAAGACAGAACTACAAGTAAAACCCTAGTCAGTGAAGTAGAAACTCCCATTTCGAGCGTTACAAATTACGCATCTTTTCCTGCACTGCCTAGAAAGAACATTTCCTATTTGAATTAAGTAGCTTGGGCCCAGACTGGCCTGAAGACTCAGCAAACAACTCAGCAACATCACCCTATCACCAAGCTACCCTGATTGCACCGCAATCCTATTTGAACTGCAGCCACTAACATTACAGTGGTCTCCTTACCTTTCACGACATCAGCGACATTGCAGGTGGGATCAATACTTCCAATGTGTTTAGGATGAGCAGGATTAGTGTCACCACCAAAGAGAAGTGCTAAACAAACACAAAAGGGAAGGGAGAGATTACAAACAAAGCCAGCCGGGATGGTCAGGCAGAGAAATACAGAGGATTCCCATATTTGTAAGAATCACTTTAGCATCCAGTGACTTAAAGTAATAGAAAACAGGGTGGGGCAAAAGGTCTACAGCTGCAAGTACATGAAACACAGTTTATTCTTATACTATCATTTATTACTGTGTTATTTGCCACACAATGGACTGTAAAACTAGTTTTGCCTCGCCCTGTATACACAACAAAGGAACAACAAAGGACAAAGGATGTGCTTTAAGACCTGCCAGTTGCACTTAGCAGGTCCCAAAGCAGTGACACGTGCCAGGTGTCCAACCCTTTCTTCCCGACCCAGTGTGACGTGGATGAAAAAACTTCCTTTCATCCTTAGCCAGGTTTACCCACCTTCTTAGTACTACTGCAGACATTTAATCCAACATTCACTAAATAGTTAGAAAACACAATCTGCAGCATTAGGCCAGCCTTGGGAAATGTCTTCACTGTGAACATGTCAAACGCCTCCATCGTGGAGATTTTTTTTCGATGTAGTGTACACAAATGATAGCTGTTCAAGTATCTTCAAAAGTACAAATGCTTTCACAATACAAAAGATTAGCACAATTGTACTTGCAAATAAAAGCCAAAAGGAGCCCCAAAGGAAAAAGCAATCTGAATTCAAGTGTTCATAGGTATACATAGATACAGGGTCTGGCACAAATAATGCCTCGTTTTTACTGCAGAATCTTTTATTTGAAATTCTTATTGTTGTTCAGTTACAGTTGTCCCGCCTTCCCCCCGCGTTGCTCTCCTCTACCCCGCCCCCCACTCCCACAGTCAATTCCCCCTACTGTTCATGTCCAGGAGCCCTCTATTCGTGTTTCTTTGCTTGCCCCTTCCCCTTCTTTCCCCGGTTAACCCCCTCCCCTCTGGTCACTGTCCATTTGTTCTTTATGAAATCTTTTATTACCAAATCCTAAGCATGTAATTCTATAACATAACCATATCACACTCAAGCACACCATGTGACATCTTAGGTGAAATATTCACATTAAAAACTATAAATTATCACACCCATATTATTACCTTACCAACCACACTCAAGCAGGCCTTACTTCTGCCAGACCCTGTAAATATTTATTTTTTTTGGTGTACTTACTTTTAAATCAAACAAACATTGGAAATAACTTAGATTTCACGAAAGGAGAAAGCATAAATAAAATAGGGGAGATTTTAAATTATAAAAAGTGATGAATATGGACACTAGGTCAATAGGCAAAGTTCTAACTGATTCCGTGAAAGAAAACCAGAAGTGACAAGCTTAGTCAGCGCTCTAGAAACACGCACGTATATATGCAGACACACATATTTAGCTCAGAAAGAAACTATTATCTAAGTAGTTTAGTTGACTAGTATTTCGTTCTCTTTTTTTCCCTTCAGATTTCCTGTAAATTGTCATACATTTCTTTGTTTAATACCAAATTACCTTTATTGTCACATCATTGGCCTGATAATGCTTTGACTACAGTTTTAAAGAGTTATATGTTTTGCTTGAAACTATTAGTTTCAGGTATACAGCAGATACAGTTCTATTTTTAAAAGATAGACATTTAGGACCAATCCACATTTAATAATTGTATAACATTCATTTATACAAATAAATAAAATTAGTAAAATAAAGGTGCGTTTTCCATTTTCTGATCAGCGAAGAGGATGATTTAGACTCTAGAAGTCTGGATGCTTTTTCATAAGAATTATGAAATCAGGCTAAGAGACAATGCTGAAAATAAGCCAAAATATTTTTTTGTGGCAAGAATTTTAGTTTTGTTTTTCTTATCTGCTCATCAGCCTCAACAGTGGATTAAAACTCTCAAGACAAGATTATGGTTTGACACTTCGCTTAATCTGATTTCACTGATCACTGTGACATTAAGGATCAATTGCTCATATTGTCAATATGCCAATATTCCCAGAAGGGAAACTACCTAACATCCTGGATGAAGACTAGAACTTTCTCTCAGAGACACATGAAAGTATTTGGAGATGAATGCAGCTGCCATTAAAGCTGGACCTTCGCCCTCACCAGGAATGTAACAGCAAATGCTTAAAGGCCAACAGTGGCCAGGTCTCCAACAGGAGAACCAAAGAGCCTTTCAAGGATTTCTTTCAACAAAGAATACTAATGACCAGCTTTTTACTAGATAAGATTTACTTAGAAAAAAAAAACTGAACTAGGAATGAAATTTCTACAGATGGAAATGCAGACCTGTAACAGGAAAACATTTGGAAGAAATCACTCTGGTTATGACTTCAAACCTGGGCCAAAACCCCAACTTACTGTGCTGGTTAATAAGCATGCGGAAGGAGATGCGGTTGGTATAGAAGCGATCCAGAAAATACTGTATGTTACTGCTAATGAATGGATCGAACCCAAACTTCTCCTTGTATTCAATCACTCCTTGTGCCATTGTAGGAACCACATCATTGTGTCTGTTTCTGATTTTAATCAGAACTTGTAGAAAGCTGTGTGGGAGGGAAACAAAAGTGGTCAGTGTTTATATCTCATGGCTGATGCATAACCTTCCCAGCTCCATCTCTGGACTACTTAGCTTCTGGTATTTTCATAGGCAGAGATGACATAATCATTCCAGGTTACAAGGAAGAACTCGTGTGAAACTGAAGCGTTACCCAAGTTTTTGCTTGCAACTTCCTACAGAAATTCTTCTTTGAGAAACACAAAAAGTAAATGGTTCCAGGAAAGAAAAAAAAATGGTCAAATACCTTTTTAAGGAATCCACTGACTTGTTGGACAAGTGATTACACAGAATGCAGGTTCTATAAATATTTGCTGAATAAAGAATTGCAGAGCATATTATTTCTTCTGATGACATGAGGACAATTCAAAAAACATTTCGGAAGATTTATTATGGAGCCTGAATGCAATAGCATCCATGAATAAATAATGTGAAACTTCTGAAGAGTAAAATTTTGAAATATATTTCTCATAGCAGTTAAAACATAATGATGAAATGTAGAGAGAATAAAGGCAATTAAAACACCCATATTTGAGCATTACAGTATATTATTGTAAAGATGCAGAGGGAAAATATATTAAGGATGGTAAATAACTAAAAAGAGAAAGACAAGTCAATGGAGGCAAACAAAAAACTCAGAACCGGGACCAAGGGTGAGTACGTGTGTATAAAAATTGAGCATGTCAATAAAACGACATTGCAAGTCAGCAGGGAAACAATCAAATTAGTTGGGGCAGCTGGCTGAAAATTTAAGTCACAACCCAATTTCAAGTGTTAGCCAAAAAGTGGGTTAAGAGATTTAAACGCAAAAGGGCAAAATCACAGAAAAGACAAAAGAAAATCAGGTGAGTGAGTATATGACCTTCAAGTAAGGAAGGCTGTTCTAGGCTTAATAGCAAAAGCAGAAACCACACAGGAACAAATTATATGACCAGGTGGGATTTCAGCAATTCTGTCAAAAAACAAAGTGGAAACTGGGAAAAGTCTATTTGCAAGCGTATTATCCTTCATAGAAAGGTGAGCATCCTAACGGAAAACTAGGCAAGGAATCTAGTGTCAAAGGGAAATTTACCAGGGGAAATGCAAATGCCAAAAACTTCACATTCACAAATAATAAAAGAAAAACAAATTAAATCAATGCAACAGCTGTTTTTTAAGAACTGTTCTTCAGAGCACTGTTCATAGTCACAAAAACACTACAAACCATTCTAAAACCCAATAATAAAGAGTTCAAATCCCATGACTTACTTGTAGATGGACATTATGAAACTATGAATAATGGTGTAGATCTGTAATGTGGACATGGTTATTTTTGTAAAAAACATTTTATACTTAGAGAAATATGTATGCCTAGTTCAAAGTAGGGATGGGAGGAAATGTTAACAGTGGTTGGCCCCTGGCAGTAGAAATGTGGAGTGATTTTCTTTTTACTTATCTGGGTAGCCTTTTTCCCCCAATGATGAACTATGTCTGTAACAAATGCACACAAAGACAGCAAAGGTGAATAAATCAACTCTGAAATTAGGAGGTCATAATTACTCACAAGAAATTTTATGATGGTCAATATGCCCTTTGTAATAATGCTCATTCCAACTTGGTCATAAATTAAATAGCACTAAAGTGAAACAATTCATTGTGGTAGAGAAGTGCCTTACGTTATCTGAGGGGAGAAGACTTGCCTCCACAGTTCAATTCTCAGACTACTTCCCCAATCTTTGGTGGCTCTTCTAAACGTTATCATTATATAAATGTGCTTCTCCTCCAAGCTACTTTCACTTTACTTAAATGATTTCCACCCTGGCTGGCGTAGCTCAGTGGATTGAGCGTGGGCTGTGAATCAAAGTGTAGCAGGTTCGATTCCCAGCCAGGGTACATGCCTGGGTTGCAGGCCATAACCCCCAGCAACCGCACATTGATGTTTCTCTCTCTCTCTATCTCCCTGCCCTGACTCTCTAAAAATAAATAAATAATTTAAAAGAAGAAAAAAACAAAGAAAAAAGTTAATAAAAAAAAAATGATTTCCCTGCCCGAGACTTCTATATAACCTCTCACTGAACAAAAAAGGCCGCTACTATGAGTAAAAATGATTCACCTTCACTCCTTCCTTCGCCATGAGCCCCAGGCTTCTAAAATCCCAACAGTCCTAACGAACTAGCTGCATGAACCTGAGCAAGTTATCAAAACTCGCTGAGAGCTACTATCATCACAATCTTGTGCACACTGGCTGCAGTGCTCGGTAGTGCACAAAGCAGGCTCGTCTCTATAAATCGCATCAGATGGACAACCTGTTCCAGAAACTGACGCAGGACTCTGGGAACCACACAGCAGAAATTCAATATCACATACTTCCACAAACTTGGATCCTAAAATGTGAAGCTACACAGGGGCCAGTCCTAATTTTTAGGATGTCAGCCAAACACACTGTTACTTGCTAGTGACTTCTGAGAAAACAAAGCTTCTGGCTTTGATTCATTTAATTTCAAAACCTTAAATAACAGCAAGAGCTGATAGTAAGGGAAATGCTGTATCTGGAGCTCTGACCTAGTGACTCCCTCCCACGCTTCACAGATTCATTACACAAAACACCTAGCAAAATGGAAAACAGACAAAGATTTTTTTCCTCTTATATTCTAATTTAATTTACATGTAATTTTACATGTAAACCTGATCTCACTACTCATGGCTCAAGCCAGCAGTTCCGGCAGTATGGTGCGTTGTAAAGAACAATGCTGTAAGGGGAAGGAAATGTAATTTCCAGGGCCAGCCCTGCTACTAATGTGATGATCTTGGGCAAGTCAGCTTACACCTGTGACCTCAGTGTTCTTGTCTGTGAATTGAGAGGCCTGGGTTCAGTGCCTCGAGCTAAGGTCTCAGATAACGTGGTGGTTCTCTAGGTTTCTCTAGGTTTATTTTTCATGGAACACCTATATTTAAGGTTTTCAGTCTCACAATTGTGTGGACCAGGTTTCCACTTAGAAAGAAATTCCTCAACACAACAGACTTGCCATATGCATGCACCCCTGTGTATGTGAACCAGGAAGGAAGAAAGTAATGTGGAAAGGAACTTAATTTCTCTTGGGGGAAAAAATCCATGCTCGGAGCTAAGGTTCATGTTTTCTGGTTAAATGAAAATGAGAAACAGAAATATTTCCCATCAGCTTGAGAATTTAGCAGTCTTCCTACAGAATGGCTGCATTGGAGCTCAGGCTGTCATAGAAAAAGCACACTTTCTCCTGCTTCTCTGAAGTAAAACCATTATTGTGTTTCTCAGTTCAAATGTAATATTCCTTTGAAAAACAATTTTTTTTTAACTATAAGGGACTGAAAAGATTATGTAATAGCTTATTGGTGCAGTGGATGAAAAGGGCGCTGAGCAAATCCAGAATTCAGAGAGCTCTCACCAATTAATCAGAAGGCAATGGAGAGGTAAAGGGAAGGACTTCCAGTCCTTACGAGGAAGAGGAGGGGCAAGAGGGGACATCCTTGTCTTGGTCCTGATCTTAGAGGAAAAGATTTCAGCTTTGCATTGGTCCTTCCTCCAGCGGCTAACGAGATGAACAAGGAAGAGCGAGCAAGAGTAACAGGTTTAGAAGGCTGCAGGACAGATCTGCAAAGGACAGTGCACTGGCAGAGTACTGGGGGACCCGGGGGTGAGACGACGGAGGTTAGGCTGTCATATGTAAAATTCTTTGTGCAAAAGATAACTAAAGCATTTGTGGAAGTTTCAGTATTACGCAAAAAAAGTTTGAAAAGCTTTCAGTGAACAATTTCAAACATCTCTCCTCCATCACACATTATTAAATCACTTTATCTATATGTAATAGAGCAGACTACAGTTTGTAAATCTAATTCATCAAGCAAAACTTTGAACTGTCTATGGGAGTTAATTACCACAACCAGGAAGTAGTAATTTTGGAACACAGGTCTCAATGAATGATACAATTAATATCTCGAGTGCATGTCTTTGTAAAATGCCAGCAACTCAGATTTAAGGTAGCAATCCATAATGCGAGAACGTCATCAGTGGTAAGGATTACTAACTTTAAACAAGCTGCATGAAAATTTTAAGAGGTGTCCTAATGCAATAACAAGATAAAAAATGTCATCATGGTCACAAATAGCCTAGTTAGTTAACTGTATGCAATTTGTATCTGGATTGTTTTAAGCTGTAAAAGTAAAGAATTTGTAAGTCTAAATAAACAAGTGTTTACAAAATACTGTGAAGGACTGAGTAGGCAGATTCACGCATATACAGAGACCACTGCATTCTTAAAACGACCACTAGGTGGAACAATTACTGCAACATTCAGAGTGAGGGTCCACACCAGTTCCCCGTGAGCAAAAAGTATTAAGAATGGTTAGATCACAGCATGCTAAGCGAAATAAGTCAGATGGAGAAAGTCAAGAACCATATGATTTCACTCATATGTGGGATATAAAACTGAAGTCAACAACTGAACAAACAAGAAAAACAAACGAAGAAAAACTCCGACACAGACAACAGTGTGCTGGTTACCAGAGGGGAGGGGCTGGGGGAGGTCATAAAGAGTAAAGGAGGTCAATATATGGTGAGAGATGGAGACTTGACTGTGGCTGGTGAACCCACAATGCACTATACAGATGCTGTACTATAGAACTGTACACCTGAAACCTGTATAATTTTATTAAATGAGGTCACCCCAATAGATTCAATTAAAAAACGTTTTTAAAGAATTAGATCATGAACCACGATTTAAGTGTCATTATTCATTTTGTACTCTTAAATTCTTAACTCCATTTTTTTAAAACAAGTGTAATGTTGTGTCACTGAAACCTAATATCTTAGTCCAAATCATACTGCTTGGTTCTTACTGACATGAGCTTCATTTACTAAACCGTTTTTTACCTAGATCATTTTACTTTCACATGAGTCTGGTAACATACTTACTTATCCAAGACCTTTGGATCCTCGGGGCTCTTATTTTCATAATCCAAAAGTTCAAGGAAGCTCTGCATATACCTGAAAAAGAACAGTTAATGTGTCGACTATCTATGCAACACCCATTTCTCCTTTCCCCCTTCCTTACAGTACCCCAAATTTCCACTCAGGTAACATCCCCTCCCCTCCCCTCATGCAGCCCAAGTGCTTCAGGAGCAGCTGATGCCACACAAAACTCCGGGGTGTCCCGACTTTTCTCTGGGTAATCCCATTTCTCCTGTCACTAATTCCTCATTAGGCTGATGGTCCATGTCTAAGCCTGTTACTGTGTCGCATATCCCTGAACACAGGGATTGGCTCAGGCATGGGCATAATGTCTCAATTCAAACCAGAGAAATAAGACAAAAGACTTGGCAGAGGTCTCTGGGAGAGAAACCAACTTGCTCTGTTTTTGTGCGGCTTGCTATGTGGACGTGAAGCCTGGAACTGCTGCAGCTACTCTGTCACCAGGAGGAAGTCCAGCCTAAAAAGGAAGCCAACACCATGGAAAGCAGTACCTTGATGAGCTCATGAATCTCTGAATCCAACCAACACCAAAAGCTCATCCTATGGCTGGATCTTACAGTTACGCAAGGCAATCAATTGTTTAAGCCATATGTAGTTTGATTTTCTACTACTTACAAACATATCCTAATGGACAAACCAACTCTATAGTTATATGAAAAAAAGTGCATATAAATGACAAGAAGCACATGTGTGATACTGAAGTGTGCACTAAGAACTTAGAAGCTAGAAATAAAGAAGGTAGCTTCTCACAGTTAAACTCTCTTAACCCCTCCGAAACAGCTTTGGGATTAAGAATAGCTCCATATCTCAATCAGGGCCAGTGTAAGAAATAATGTGTTCAACATAAAGAGCTAGAGAACACGGAAAAATGGGACCCAGAGAGGCATGCTACTGGAGCTCCTACATCCAGACAGGACCTGCTAGATCCCGCAGGGATTCAGAGATTTCAGTTACTCAGAGGTGATCTCTGCTCTGGGTATTAACATGTCCTGAAAGATCTCTCTTATTATTCTAATGATTTCTAGCAAATAATTACACTAATCCTACTAGCCAGCTTTGATAGAGGATGAGGGTACTTAAGCAATTAAAACTGACTGTTGAGCACATACATAGAAATGACGTTTTGTTAATCAGCCTCACTTACACTTTGTGACACTGCGTAATACTAAAGTATGTTCATCTCTGGCTATATATTTTTCAAAGTCTCTGGGAAGATAAGGCTATGGATTAGATATTGCTAAAGTCATCAGGTCAAACCACCCTGCAAGGTCGCTTTTAAGAGGGAAAAGGAAATGACAACAAAACAGAATGCATGATCTTGCACTGGATTCTTGAATTGGGAGGGGGGCACAACAAAAAAGAAAACACTATTAGACATTAGGACAATTAGGGAAATGAGAACAAGTTCTACATATTAGAAAATTACTGGATCAGTGTTAAATTCTCAAATTTGATCATCATACTGTGGTTTTCTACGAGTCATTCTAAGGAGATACCTACTAAATTAAGCACAATGTAAAGAAGCACAACGTCTACCATTAATGCAATGGTTCAGGGAGAAAAAGCATATGTGTATGTACCGTGTGTGTGTGTGTGTGTAACTCACACATACAGACAGACAGAATATGAATGAGAATGGTAGAACAAATGTTGCCAAATGCCAACAATCAGTCAATCTGCATGAAGGTTCGTAATGGGAATTCTTGCCACTAGTCTTGTAAACCCTTCTGTTAAGCAGGAAATTATTTCACAATGGAATGCTTAAGAAAAGAAAAGGAAGAAATGATGTGTGTGTGTTTGGAATGGCCATGGTGAGGAGACACAAAAAAGAGTCAACACAGTCATTTGCATCTGTACTTTGCCAGCAATTCACTGTGAAGACTCTGAAGTCACTTTTACATAAGTGATAGTAAATGTCTGACTGTTACTGCCACCAGGACTAGGGCACTTGAAAGTCATCTAGACTGCCTAGAGCCCCACCATGGTAGCCTGAGATAGTGCTTATATACTTTCTTTTGGAAATCTCTAACTGTGGCCTTGAAGCAATTAAAGAAATCTCATGCAAACAAGTACATGCCGCTCCTTCTAAAACAAGCTATGAACTTAGGGTAGAAAGCAACTAACTATGAGATCAAAACCATGGTCATCATCTCTCCGGGGTCTCTCAGGACCCCTCTGACTCCCACAGCGAGGAGCTACTACTGACTGTCTGGGCCAGGGACGGCACAATGTGTCTCTAAAACCACCCACCAGTGTGTATCTCAAACAATTCACTCTCAGCCCTAAGAATTTAGTATAAAACGTGCAGGGGTGGGCAAAAGTAGGTTTAGAGTTGTGAGCAGGCAAAACAGTTTATGCTTGTATTATTATTAATTATTGTATTATTTTCCATACCAACAACTGAAACCTACTTTGACTCATCCCTGTATTACTGAGGAATGACTACTGAATGGCCATTCTCTTTCAGTAGCCTGGTCTCCACTGACCCTCTAAGTGCAAGTTCATGAACAGTTCCATCCTCCTCCTATCTGTTCCACGTCATTCCCTTCCCCTAAGATGCTCTCCCTGACCCTGTCATTTCCAGCCACTCATCGAGGGGCAGTGCAAAACCGCAGCTGGCACTTCTCCCACAGCACTTCCTCTGTCCTGGCCTGGCAGCACTCTTTGCGTCTGGCCTCCCGAACTCCTCCAGCTTTTTTCCAGTACCTGCCACCTTGTTTTTATAACACAGAGGAGACCTGTAAATGTTTCTTGTGTTTATGCAAATCCCTTTCTAAAAATACACCAACTCTCTGACATCCTACCACTCATCAGCCTCACCCCGTTTACCTAGTCGGTAGTTTACTCACAAATTCAACTTCCTCAATTAAATAACGCAGGCTTTAAGCATCAGAGCTATACCTGATTAAACTTTAAGTTATACTTGTGAGGATTTTTCATACTTTTCACAGGGCAAATGCAGCATAGCAGGTACTGATGGTTTTCCAGTCCGAGGTCCCTTTAAATGACTGACTTTGTTCTAAAAGAAGTACTGGCTTCAAGGAACTTCTTTAAAAGGAAAACAGAAGGAGCGTGGCTGAGACGTGACAGAAGCAAGATGCCCCACCTAAAAGATTGTAGACCTGCTCCCATGGGTCACTGCACTGCTATCCCTCTCCACTTTTCTGCACTTGCCCTTTTTTAAAAAAATGAGCCATCCCATTTATAAACAGAAAACTAAAATTTGCAAAGTCAACAAAGTGTCTGATATGGTTTAGAAGTATTTTCTTTTTTTTTTTAAGATTTTATTTATTTATTTTCAGAGAGGGAAGGGAGGGAGAAAGAGAGAGAGAGAGAAACATCAATGTGCAGTTGCTGGGGGTCATGGCCTGCAACCCAGGCTTGTACCCTGATTGGGAATCGAACCTGTGAGACTTTGGTTCGTGGCCCGCGCTCAATCCACTGAGCTACGCCAGCAAGGTAGAAGTATTTTCATTAAAAAAATTTTGAATTGTCAGTTAAAAACAATCTTAATTGCCCGGAAATCCCAATTATCCCACGTGACTCATTCCCACACATGCAGTGCGTGCATTTTTAGGGAGAATGATCCCAACGCCAAATGTTCAGAGCATCATGGGAAGACCCCTTTGATGTCACGTCATGTACTTACCAACTCTGGACCAATCCCACCGAAGGGCGGTTAAGTAAATTATCTGGCAGAAGGTTAACTTCTCTCATGGTGTTAGCCAGGCGCACAGGAAGCTCCTTCCGTAGAAACATGTATGAAGTCTTCTCACACGCATTGTCTCTCCCTATTCAGAGACGAAAAAAGTACCAGGATTTACAATCTAACAGATGGAATAATGAATGCTCCCATGGTAGCAGTTACTGGTCGGGAAGAGAAAATTAAATAATCCAGCAACCTCTAGTTAAATTTTTATCCTCTGAAATAGCAAGCTTAAGGAAATAATTAGAATAGCAAAAGAACATTTATTCCAAGAGGCCATCTTGAAAGCAGTTTCTTTTTCCTTAACACAAATCTCTTCCTAGCATCTCCAGTTTCGATCTAAAAGGAACCTGGGATATAATCTGAATTTGTTTTCCCCGTGGGAAAACTGCCAAGCACAAAAGTAGGAGAACATACAAATCCATGCCTGTTCAGAGGAGTTTCTGGAAGGCAACAGATCCATTCATTCCATAAATATTCACCTGCTATGCACCAGGATTTTCATCTAATGTGTTTCTTTGGGCACCACTCTGCCACTCGGGGAAGCAGCCACAGGCCCCATTTCTGCCTGAGACACAGGACTCAGGGTGTACCAAAGAAACCAGACCACAGGTGCTCTCGGGAGCAGAGTGACCTACCATGGCATGTCTGAAAGGGCCAGACACTGCATGACTCTAAAGACAGATGTCAGGGAGTCTTCTGTTGTTTGCTCTGAGCTGGCTGTACATCAAATTTACCTAACCAGGACACAGTGAGAAAAAGGTACCCGGTCACCTGAAAGAGGAAACCTGAGCCCCTTCCCTGAGTGGATTCATGATTGACCCTCCCCCAAAACCCCAGCCCTACTCTAAACCTGACAGAAAGGACATGAGCTTTGGGGACAGAAATGTGCTCCAGCCCAATCTCCTCCATTTTGGTGTTGGGACACCATTGGTAAGTTTCTTAACCTCTCTAGGTTTCAGCTGCCTTTATCTGTAAAGTGGGATGAAACTTCAGTTTTTGTCAAGACTGTGACGATGTGTGTGGAGTCTGACAAAGAGCAAGTGTTCAATAACTATCAGTCCCTCTTCTGTCCTCTGTGATACTTATGGGTCCCTCCCAAGTTGCTCACACTGGATAGGCCTTCCTGCCACTCCATATTCCCTGGAGAGGTTGCTCAGAAATGGGCAACCTCTGGCCCAGGCCGAGAGACAGGGAAGCTCACCTAACAATCCACTCCTCCACACTCTCCTCATTCTTCCCAGTGTGACAAAGGTGGTGCCACAGGGAGTCGGCAGGGTAGAGCTATTGCATTCCCCTAGGCCAGTGCCACTGAGGGGAGTGTTCCATCCAAGAAAGATGGGGTCTGCAGTGTGGGACAGGGACTCAGCACAGGGATCCTGGCAGCTATCCCTTCACCTCTTTCCCCACGAGACTCTAGTCTGCTCTGCCCCCACCTTGCTAGGAGCCCAGGGTAAGTAGCTGAGAACAAGATTTTGTGTGCTGGCCTTTTAAGAGGGCACCTGTGTTGCTAGCAGACTTCTGCCTCTCCCTGGGGAGAGAATCCCTGCTGCTTTTCACGTCCAGATGTTATGTGGGTACCTCTTCCCAGCTCTGGTGCTCTCTGCTATAGAGCCCGGCTTGGGGTTGAGACCCCATGCTTCTTAGGGGGAACCTTTGCAACTGAGATATCCCTTCTCAATGTCAGCTACCACCCTTGGGAGCCAGGCCAGATCTTTTCATGTCTCCACCCTTCCTACCACTCCCTATATGACTCCTTCTGTAAAACCTTGGTTATAAGACTTCTGGTTCAGCTAGTCTTTGGTCGGTATTCAGGTTGATTGTTCTATAACTTAGTTGGAAGTTTAGTTTGGTCCTGGGAGGAGGTGAATATAGCTACTTCCACATACTCTGCCACCATCCTGGATCTCCAAAAGGAATTTAATTTTTTAAGTTAAAAAAAAAAAGTTGACATTGTCCCCATAGGAAGAGTAACTTAGAGAATGGGGAAGAAGAGAAAGAACCTTGTGGTGATGAATCAGAACTGGGAGTATCAGTATGAACTCAGGAAAAAATTCGTTGACTTTTTGGGTAGGGGAAGTTTACATGCTTAAATTTCCGTGTCCATGGCATATTTGGAGCATCAAATTAGAAGCACATGGGTAGGGTGAAGAGGGAGAACGATGAGAAATGACAGTGGGCTGGCAGGCTCCAGGTGGCAAGGGGAGGCCAGGTCCACATCTGTTCTGGAAACCCTCAGGGCTAGATGGTTTTGGAATATAAAGGTTGTCAGATTTTAGGAAAGTAAAAAGGATTATGTACATCCATTGTGTAATATGATCTATTATACAGACACAACATAGCTGCAGTGAAATCTGTGCACATTTACACAGAGCAGGATAAAGACCATGACCTCAAATCAGGTTGGATAGGCTTTTACCACACAAAGGTATGTTTTGCCACCAAAGGTATGAAAAAATACTTCCATTTTTAGAGCTTGTTACACATCAGAGTTCAGATATGAGACTGCGGTCCTGCAGAAAAATAAAGCCAAGATTAAGTGCTAGCAGTAGACTTGAGTTTGTATCCTGACTCCAGTACCCACTAGCTTTATGAGCATGGATAAGTGTCATTACACTTCTAAACCTCAATATCACCATCTATAAAATAAAAACAGCCCTGGCAGGTGTGGCTCAGTGGACTGGGTGCTGGCCTGCAAACCAAAAGGTTGCTAGTTCAATTCCCAGTCAGGGCACATGCCTGAATTTTGGACCAGATCCCCAGTTAGGGGGTGTGTGAGAGGCATCAATGTGATCTCTCACACATTGATATTTCTGTCCCTCTCTTTCTCCCTCCCTTCTCTCTCTAATAAGTAAGCAAGTAAGTAAATAAATAAAATCTTTAAAAATAAATAAATAAAATAAAAACAGTGCCTATTTTGTAGAGGCTGTGGTGAGGGTGAAAAAGTGTCAACATTTAGCATCAACAAGTTGTTAAAATGTAGAAGAAGGGGCTCATTAAATAGCAACCACTAACAATGCCAAGGATGATAAAATGAAACAGCCTGAGGCCATATGTGCCAGATCAAAAAGGCCTGGTATTTTCTGAGCCCTGAGAACCTGACTGCATTCTGGTTCAGTGCTCTGCCTGTGCTCATTTGATGATTCTACATAATTAAGAAAGGATTAAAAAGAATTAAAGTATGTTCTGTGTCCCCAGCATCCACTTCGATTTATTTTAAAATAAAAGGCATTGATGCTTACATTGGTCAACTCTGCACTAACTAGAAAACACAACCACTCATTTGGCATGGTCTAAGGTGACCAAGTTTCAGGAAGCATTTATGCTAGCCTTCTTGGATTACCAGTCTTTTATAAACCAGTATAGAAAGAAACTTTATTTTATTTGTTTCTCTATATATCCCCCGTGGCACCAATTAGAGAGCCTCACCTATGGTAGCTTCTCAATGATTTATTGGAGAATAGATAATACTTTCCAAAATTTGTAGTTTTAAAAAAGAGTACCTGAAAAATGTCAGGTTTTGCCTCCTACATTCTAATTTAGCTTTCGAGAAAACTTCTTTGTACTCAGATACCTTAATTATACATCAGCTTAAACAGGGGATACGTCTTTTATAGTTAATTAGTGAACCTAAAAATAAATATGAACTACCTGATTTTTTTTAAAACTTCTCAGTGGTTTTCCTCATATGTTGAAAATATTTTATCCTGTGTGTTAATGCTGGATACTTAGTTTCACCAAAGGGTTCCAATAAACTTTTTTACAGTAAACTTACAAAAAAAGAACCTTTTGGTTTTAGTTGAATGTCCTCTCAAAAGGGTTCTGTTTTTATAAGTCTTCTGACACACTATTTTCCAGTTATTTGACTTTGTTTTTTCCCCATTTATGTGGCTTTTCTACATTCCTTAATTTTGATTTTCTATTTTATTCTGCATTTCTCTAAATACTTTTATCTTATTCAAATGTACCAATTAAATTATTCCCTAGCATCAGTTCAGAGGATGACGAAGGAGTGGGCGAGGGGCAAGAAAAATTCTGACTTTAATGAACACAAATTAGTCATTGGCTTTAATAGACTCGTCTGTATTTTTCTTCACTGCTTCCTCCTAATTTAATGGCCTTTTTCATTCTCTTCGGTTTTCTGTTTTTCATACTTTGCTCTTTCATTGAAAAGTCGGAGACAATTACTACATTTGCAAAAGGTATGATTTGCTTTGCTTGGAAATGTTCCAAATAGCTTTCCATTCACCAAGATGTAGAAAGAATCAGACATAGAAACGCAAATGACTTTCTATTTAATGCAGGGAGCCCTCCCTCTGATGGTCACCATAAGAAAGGAGCATTTGACTAGCCTTCTGAGAGCAAGAATAATACTTCAGGCTTATTCTTTACATCTGGTTTTCACAGTGGCCTGTATTTCCAGTGAATCTTTAATCCTCTTTTCAACTAAGTTACAGGAAGCAGGAAAAAAAAAACTCTAATTATTTCTTCATTTATTGAAGTGAACTGATGATATATTTTATAATTAAAGAGAGGGCTGTGAAACTTCACAGCCAAATGCAGAGTCCCCTGTTTGGACTACTTGAAGCCTATCTTTGTCCACAGCTTTCAGCTTTCACACCTGGTGGGGGATGGTTTGGGAGGAGTAGTAATGGAATCAGGGGGTGGAAAATGAGAGCAACAAATGGAAAAATTACAAGCAAGGCACCAAAATCCAACAGAATGATCAGCTCATTCAGATAATATTGCCTTCTCTAAATACTGCCAATTAAATGTTTGAGTTTCCAATGTATTTTTACCATTAACCATGTTAAAATGGATAAAATATAACGGAGAAAACAGCATTTTAAGAGCAGCTCTTTTATTTTTCTCCAGTTATAAGATTCCAGTCTTTTGAAAACATTGAATTTTGAAATCCTAAGTAATTAACTCTTAGAGTTACCAGGGCTAAACAATGATTAACTGAATAGTCCTTCAAAGAAACACACTGAAGTGTGAATGGAGAGCTATCAAATCATTGTGAATATCCTTCAGAAGAATCCCTTATTTTTTTTGCTTCACATATACTTTTAAAGTGTTTGTTTT